GGAGAGTGGAGAGGTTTTCTCCTTCAACTACAGCTTTTCTTGTCCAACAGCGTATCTAGAATAGTATGCATCACCATCCAAAGACTCATTTGTTCCAGGAAAAAATACAATCTCACAAATAATACTTGACCGCACGTGTGGAATATTCTCCCTCTGACGGCACCCAGAGCTCAGCTTCCTGTGAATAGACAATCTGACCTTATGACCCCAAGAGAACATTACCTCCTCAGTCAAGGGTTAGAAGCCAAGAGAGACTTCATTTGCTTGGTTACAAAAACACGCGGCTCTGGTGTCCTTTGGAAGGGAATTAGGAGTGCATACAGGAGGGGGTGGGGGGCAGGGCTGCCTCCTGCCCCCACAATTTTGCTTTTTAACATGCTTGAAGTTATATAACTTTGTATCCTCTTTTTTTTCTACAAGAGCATAAGCATCCTCCCAAGATTTTGTTGGTGGTGGTGATATTATTATTTAAGACAAGGTCTGGTGTAGCCCTGTCTGGCCTCGCTGAGGATGAACTTGAACTCCTGATCCTCCTGCCTCCACCTCCCAGGTACTGGGATTACTTGTGTCTAAAACCAAGTTCAATTTCTGTGATGCTGGGATTGAACCCAGGGCTTTGTGCCTGCTAGACAAACCTTCTACCCACTGAACTATATCCTTAGCTCCCTTCCAAGTGTTTAAAGTTCTCTAAATGTCTTGACTTACATGAACATCATTTTAGGTTTTTAATCATTTGTTTTTTGAGGTGCTAGAATTCAAACCCAGGGCCTTTTGCATGCTTGATAAGTATTCTAACATTGAGCCACACCCCCAGCCCGAGAAGCACCATTTTAAATGAAAACAGAGCATTTCAACGCAGGGTGCGGCCACAGTTCTGGTATTTATTTTTAAACTTAAAATTACATTTATGTGTTTTATTCGTTTATTTTGTGTAAGTGGATGTGGACGCACCATGGTGTGTGTGTGTGTGTGTGTGTGTGTGTGTGTATGTGTGTAGGTTTTGGGAGTCAGTTCTCTCTTTCCATCTCATGGGTTCAAGGCATCGAACCCAGGTTGCCAGGCTTGGCAGCAATCACCTTTCCTTGCTAAGCTATCTTGCTGGCCCAGTAGTTCTGGGAGTTTTTGAGCAGAACGTCCTAAGGACTGGAGGATCTAATAATATTCTTGTTAAAGTAAAATCCTAAGAGCTTCAGTAGCTAGCTTAGCCGCTGAGGACTCTACACAGTGTGGTTGGTAGAGAACAGCTTACGTTAAAGGACTGCAAATGTTGCTTGTGGGTGGTCAGAGCTTTGTGTCGGAGACACCGAGGAGGTGAGGCTGGAGCCATTGAGTGAGTCAAGAACCAGAGCCCAGGAGGAAGCAAGGTGAAAGGAGAAAGGCTGGTTGGTAAGACGCAGCACAGCACCTGGCTGCTGTTCCCATCAGTCAGAGCTGGGGAACAGAAGCAAAGACATCGCATCTAGCATACACATGGCCCACTGTGTCTGAGGACATGAGTGGAAAGGCCTGCAGGAGCCAATTCCTAACTTTGAAGGGCGGGAACAGCAACATCCCTTTGACCTTCCTAGAAGGCCTCGCCTAACCAAATGGGTGTGGTTTTGAAGTTGGCACAGACTGGAATAGGAAGTCCATGTGAATTCCCAGCCATACCAGCAGCTAGCCCTGGAATATTCCGGTCCTCCCATCCCAGTCCACCCCATCCCACAACATGTTAAACCAGTCATTTACCTAAGGTACATCAATATCATCCTTATACATGTCCAGGAGCTACACTGTCCGTTTCTGCCCCAACACCAACCTAGTGCAGAAGCAGCCTCCCCACAGACCCAACCGCCTCTGGTCTTCCTACCTCATTTCTGCTCCATTCCCCCTCCCAAGGCCAATAACCGTCTTTCTAATGTGACAGCTGATTTGTGAATGATATTGCCAGTCCCCTCTACCCCTTTATTTTTTTCTAAAGACAAACCCAAAGCAAGAAGGAACTGAAGAATTAAAACATAAATTCCATTTTTCATGAAAATAAGATACACCTAAAATATGTCAGAGGTACAAACAGCAGAGTCACCAACAAGGACGGGAACCCGCTGGAGATAACAACGAAAAAAGCGGAGAAGAACACCGTGAGGCCGGCGTCAGGGACACCTGTGGAACGCTCACCCAGGGGTGGGGGGCTCTTCTGAATGTGCAATGCTTGCAGTGGGTCATGTGTAAGCACCGCTGAGGACTAAATAAGACCTGTTTCTATGACAACAGGGGTTCCCAGGGACCAGAGAGCATCCAAGGCCATCAGCCCTGGCTCACAAGAGAAACTTTGCCAATGTGGAAGACAGCCTCCATCTCTCTCACACCAGAGGTCCACGAGAAAGGAAAAGCAAAACTTGCTTTGGGCCAGCGAGATGGCTCAGTGGAAAAAGGCACCTGCCAATGTGAGTTCGATTCCCAGGACCCATATGACAGAGGGAAAGAACCAGTCCTGCAGGTTTTTTGACATTCACTCAAGTGCCATGGCACCTACATGCACACACACACACACACACACACACACACAGAGAGAGAGAGAGAGAGAGAGAGAGAGAGAGAGAGAGAGAGAGAGAGAATAAATACATATTTTTTTAAAGGAAATATCTGCCCTAAAATGTCACTTTCTTTTTGAAAATGCTTTCTTAGGATAGAGAACACACATCTCAGAATGGCTTACTAGGGGGGTGAGCACAGCATCCACTGAGCAACAGGACGCTCGAGGCTGAAAAGAGGGGCTACCCACGCAAACCAGGTAAGGCCGCCTGCGTAGACAGCCCCTGGCGATCTGCCTGGCTTCCCGCCCCAACCTCATCTCTCAAGTTGCAGCCCATAGCGCTCCACAGGGCCCCTGAGTTCTAAGTGGCAGCTTCCCTGTAGCATCTCCCACCACCTGTTCCCTCCAAATCCTCCCCTCTGGCTTATGCCGTGTCCTACTTTCCTGTCCCATTGCTGTCCTAGAACACCCTGACAAAACACAGCCTAGGTGACTGGGGTTCATTCTAGCTCACAGTCCCAGGTCCCGCCAGTGTGGGGCAGTCCCAGCAGTGGCTTGAGACAGCTGGCCACATCGCACCCTCCATCAAGAGCCGAGAGAAAATGAACACATGCATGTTGTGGAATAGAATATTTGTTTAACTATGTAAAGATGTGTTGCATGAGCTTGTGTTGAAGGATCATGGTTTAACTGGGCAAAGATGTGTTGCATTTGTGGATGCTGCATTTGTTTAACTACGTAAAGATGTGTTGCTGTTTCACCTGGCCTGCCTAAGGCACCTGATTGGTCTAACAAAAAAAACCTGAATGGCCAATAGCTAGGCAGAGGAGGGATAAGTGGGGCTGGTGGGCAGAGAGAAAAGGGGAGACAGACAGACAGACAGACATGGAGAAGCAGAAAAACATAATGGACAATACGTAGATGAGGTAAACGAGCGTCAGGGCAGCACATAGATTAATAGAAATGGGTTAATTTAAGTTAAAAAAAAAAAGCTAGCTAGAAACAAGCCTAAGCTAAGGCTGAGCATTCATTATTAATAATAAGTCTCCATGTCATGATTTGGGGGCTGGTAGTCCAAGAAAGCTGGCTACACAGGCATGCTTCTAGTACTCACTTTCTCCCCTCCACAGCGCACAACCCAGACCCAGGGAATGGTGCCCCCCATGGTGGACTGGGTCTTTCTGTGTTAATCAATGCAATCAAGACACTTCCCAACAGTCAGGCCCACAGGCCAACCTGATCTAGATAGTTCCTCACTGAGGGTCTTCCCAGATGATTCTGGATTGTGTCAAGTTGACAATTAAAACCAACTATCACAATCTACATGTGCTTCCAGCCTGAAATTCCCATTGCCTTACATGTTTTATGAATTCTAAAATGTATACACCTTAGGCAGGCAAGTACAGGTGATAGTTTAGTACCTGGGGACCTCATTTGACTTTAGGTATGCACACACTCCTTTTATAATAATGCACTTGGCAGCCTAGTTCCTTTTCCTACATGTACTAAGCACACACACCCCTCTCCAGACAATACACCTAGCAACATTTAGAACCCACTGCCTGCATCAGGCTGTACGTTCTTCCAGCACTGAACAGTAATATGCTTCCCTATCCCTAGTAACAATCAAATCCAGACACTTCCTATTCAAGTGTTTTCCCAATGTATCCCAGTATGAAGAATGGAAGAGCTGATCTGGCCTGAACTGGTTTGGGGTGCATGTTCAGTAAGACACAGCTGTGTCCTCTAAATAGTCTTTTAGGGAGAATCCCCTATTTACCATCTTATGCCTATTCAAAATTGGGTGCACAGATAATTAAAATCAGATGCAGTATGGGAAGGGACATGCACAGTAGAGAAATAATTATAATTCAAAATAAAGACCCATCCAAACTATGCCCCTTAGCAACCAGCGCTTCCTTCTTCTGAACACCATAAAAGGAAGCCCCCAAACAATAATCAAGGCCGCTGAGTAGCTTCACTTGTGGCCACTGTCAACCTTAGTGTCACTGAGCTCCAAATGAGATAGTCTTGCTTTTTTTTTTTTTTTTCAAATCTGTGTGAGCCTTTATTAACAATTATTTGACTATGAGGCCAAGAACCTGGAAATATTCAACTGAACCCCTACCCACTGGTAACACATCCCCTCTGCGTGTGTGTGTGTGTGTGTGTGTGTGTGTGTGTGTGTGTGTGTGTGTGTGTGTGTATGCACATGCACATACGTGTGTGTTTTTAAGACAAGGTCTCTTATAGCTCAGGCTAGCCTAGAACTTACTTTGTAGCTGAGAATAAAATTGAATTCCTAATCCCCCTGCTTCTGTCTCCAGAGTGCTAGGATTACAGGTGTAGACCACCACATCTCATCTAAGTGAGACCAGCACTCTGACAGCTGAGCTACATCTCCACCCTGTATCCACCCCCACACCGCTCCATTTTTATAACGCTGAAACTAGAAAGTGTCTTTTAACCCTCGGCCCATCACAGTTCGGCTGGCAGCATTTTCCCCAGCAGAACATAAAGTAATAGCACATCTTTGAGCAGAGGCACCTTAAAGCCAGTGCCCTTGTTATCCCCCTGTCCTGGAACTGCCCACTTCCACAGCCAGCGTTCACTAACTAGAATTGCCTCCAAGGGAAGGGCTGTTTTGCTATCTCTCACTAAATTCCCGGGGGCACTCTCTGGAAGCTGGTAGTTACAGAGTAAATGTTTTCTGAATGTGCACAACTTCTGTGGAAACAGATCGTGCAGGATTCTACCCAGGCCCGAGGCTGTTAGCTGTGGAAGACTTGCAAGGAAGCAGACATTGTCCAGGGGTAGGGGAATTTCTCCAGGATGTTTGGGGACACTCTTCTCCTGAACACTGCTTATTATCTGTGTCTTCGAGGCTCCACAAATAAACTTGATGAGTGAATGAAGACAGTCAAGCATGTGAGTTCACATATATTTTTCTTTTCTTTTTTCTTTCTGTTATGGGGGGGGGGGGGTGCATGCTCCGACACTCGTGTGGAGGTCAGAGAATACTTTGTGGAATTGGTCCTCTCCATCCATCGTGTGGCACCCACCTTCCTCAGGGACCAACCTCAGGTCATCAGGCTTGGCAGCAAGCATCTTTACTTACTCCATGAGCTATCTTGCCAGCCCCTAAAGTTTTATTTCATCCTTAACTGGCTTTACAGGGTAGAAATGGGAGAATCGAAGAAACACGTTTATTTGTTCATTCAGCACTACCCATATATCAAAAACTCAATGTTTGCTCACATCTTCTCCATGCTGGGGATACCACAGAAGACAGATCAAGGCCCCTTTCCTCTTTAAATTTACAACCTAATTGATGGTCCCAATAGCATACACATAAACAAGGTCACAGTAGGTCAGAGGACCGATGGTCACCATTATATTACATGAAAACAGAACGTTTTATTACAGTTGTGGGTGTTCATTCAAGCTTACCTGGCCAGAACAACCACCAAGGACTGCTTTAAAAACAGATTTTCAGAGTGCTGGAGAGAGGCTTGGAGTAAAAGCCTTGTGCACTATGTATAATGACTAGAATTCAGATCCCCAGAAACCACGTTAATTCTGGATGTGATGGTCTGCCTGGAATTCTAGCCTTGGAAGGTAGACAGAGGATCCCAGAGCAAGCTGGCTGAGGAGACTATCCCTTGACTAGCTCTGTCAGTGAGCTCTGGATTTGACTGAGAGATCTAATAGGTTTTCTGTATCATAATTATAGGTTTCTCCACCGCTGACACAGTAAGTCAGATCAGGTCAGGCCAAACTGAAAAAGTAAAAGAACAGGTTTATTTAAACAAAGCAACTCCCGAGTGAGTCCTCCAGCCCCAGAGATCAGGCTGGAGAAGTCATTTGTCCCAACTAAAGCAGGGAGCTTATACAGCCTGTAGGTGAGGATTGATGACAAGTCCTCCACAAGCTGGGTTTGTGCCCAATTATGGTCAAAAGCTGACCACTTTAGGCGAGGTCTTGGGCTGCTGGCAACTTCAAAGGAGGAGCTGCCACAGCCACCAAGAATGCAGAACTGGGCTTTTTGGTGTTTTTTCTTTGTTGGAGATTCTCTGAGAGGGTGGGGTTTGGAGAGAGAGGCATGGGGCCTTCTGGGTCAAGCAGGAGTGAGCTGAAAGTTCCGCAGAACAAGACCCTCTGCATAATCAATAAGATGCAAGAGTGATTAAGGGTGATTCCTGATATCAACCCCAGTCTTCTGCATGTGTGTGCACCCCCACGTATGCAAAACCATAAAAGTCACACACACACACACACACACACACACACACACACACACACACACACAGAGAGAGAGAGAGAGAGAGAGAGAGAGAGAGAGAGAGAGAGAGAGAGAGAGGGGCGAGAGAGAGAGAGAGAGAGAGAGAGAGAGAGAGAGAGAGAGAGAGAGAGAAACCAAAAACCAAAATCAACCAGATTTTCAGGTTGGGTGTCATAGAATATGCCTATAATCCCAGCACCTCGGAGGCAAAGGTAGGAGGTTCTTGGTAATTTCGGGACCAGCTTGGCCTTCATAAGTACCAGACTGAGGAGGACTACACAGCTAGATTCCGTCTCAAAACAATAACAACAAAAATATTTGGGGGCCCATGAGTCCAGACCCAGGGAGAAGCCTGGGTAAAATGACCAGACACAATGATTTATATGAGTCTTATACTGGTGATGCCTGGACTGGTGGAAGGTTTGGAAGCCTGGAACATGGCAGAATCCCAAAGAGAACTTTTGACAGTATCTGGCACCCTGGCTCCACCCTGCTAGGTCATGTTGCATCTGGGAGAATGTACGTTTGTCCTTAAAATTTGCTGGGTGTGGGGTCTGAGAGATGACTCAGCGGTTAGGAGCACTGGCTGCTCTTCCAGAGGTCCTGAGTTCAATTCCCAGCAACCACATGGTGGCTCACAACCATCTGTAATGAGATCTGGTGCCCTCTTCTGGCCTGCAGGCGTACATGCAGGCAGAACACTGTATACATAATAAATAAATAAATAAATAAATAAATAAATAAATAAATAAATAAACTTATTAAAAAAATTTGCTGGGTGTGGTGGTTCACACCTGTAATCCCAGAACTTGGAAGGTGGAGGCAGGGGAATCAGAAGCTCAGTGTCATCCTCAGCTGCACAGGGAACTCAAGGCAAGCCTGTCTCAAACAGCACGGGAATGAGAGGTAATTAAGTGGGTAGAGTACCGAAGCAGGGCCCTGGCTTGGATCCTCAGCACTGCCTAAAACCAGGTATGGTAGAGCATACCTATAATCGAAGCATTTGGGAAATAGATGCAGGCAGCTTAGAAGTTCAAAGTCAGGGCTAGGGAGATGGCTCAGCGATTAAGAGCACTCACTGCTCAGATCCCAGCAACTCGGTTCTCTGCATCAAGCAGCTTTACAACCACCTGTAACTTCAGTTCCTCAAGGGCACCTTCACGCAAGTGGTGCACTTAACCTCATGCACGCATGCATACATGTAAATGAATGAATGAATGAATGAATCTCAAAGGAAGAAGTTCAAAATTGTCTTTGACTACATAGGGATGTCAAGATTAGACATGAGACCTCGTCTCAAAAACAAACAAACAAAAACAACAAGGTGCGAAAAATAAATAAATAAAATTCATCAGATTATGGTGGTGTGCCATTAGTCTTGGAACCCACCTCAGGATGGTTGAAGGTCATGATCGGAAACTCTGCAGCTGGCTTCTGCCAGGAACCAGGCATTAAGCTCCTAAAGAGCAGCTTGTCTATATCTAAGGCTAGATGTCTTAGGGGGTGCCATGGTAGCTCAGTGACCTGGTACTATCTAAACATGTGAAAGGCCCAGGAGTGTTAAGATCTTTAGATCTATGCCCCTGAGGGACTGGTGGCTGATGTAGAGACTGCGTCCTTAGCATGCCATTTTATGCCTTCATCCTGAGTCCTCCTAGGAGCTGCTTCCTGTGCAGACCCAAGGCTGAGAGCTGACCCCCTAGTCTAACACTTCCTCTAGACCTGGCCTCACTGCTTCTCTCCTCACAGCTGTGAGAACCTGCTGCAACCCTTGGAAGCACCAAGCACAAGCCATTCTCTTTTAGCAGTTTCTTTGAAAAGTCCCCAGTATGTCATTTCTATTAGTAACTTCGGTTGGAAATCCCCTCAGGTCTGCCAGCTGCTATGCCTGGAACCCAATAGACAGGCACCCTAATAGCTCCCCCATAAGAATAAAAAAGCAGTATTTTCTGCCTTCAACTGAGAAATTTCCAGAATTGTGTGTTATATGGTTACACCTGGCCATCAAGAGGAAGAGAAGAGTTAAGCTACAGGACATGTGACAGAACAGTATATTTTTTTCCTGTAACTGACCCCTCATGGTCTAAGATACTGAACCCCAGTGGGATACAAGGGCTAGTTCCCCATAAGGAAACAGGGTATCATGGTGGTTTCTCTTGATTTTCAACACGAAGGAATTTATAATCACCACAGGTGTGTCTGCAAGGTTAGGTTACCTGAGGTAGGGAGAGCTGTTGTAAATATGTTTCTCCCCCCACCCCCCACACTGCTCCCGACCGTGGGTGCAATGTGATTAGCTGCCTCATGTGTTGGGTCCTGGAATCGCACAAATAATGGGGAGCAGACCACTGAAGTCTATTAACCAGAAGCAACTTTATTAGAAACACTCGGAGGTGGGGAGACAAAAAAACTTCTAACTCGTTAGGACCACAGAGAGTTATTTGACTCTGTGACCCTGATGAGGGCCTATAAGCATCCTTTTATGGCCAACGATTATACACAGGGCAGAGAGCATATATCGGGATTTACAGTTCCTCGGGAATGCATTCCCAGGGTTAGACTCTACCACCCCTGTGGAGTTCACCCTTGGTGTGATGATTTATAATCTCTGATTACAGGGTGTTAGTTCAAGATGTTTACATAGCCTGGGTCTGTTCTAACTGGGAGACTGTAGGGCGAAGGGTCAGGTAACTTGTTTTAAGGCCATTATCAGGCTACAGGCGTACCATTTTTCCTCTTCCTGGGCTCTTCATTAGACTCTTCCAGCCATGTCTTCCCCATCATGATGGACGACACTCTCAAGCTGTAAGCCAAAGTTAAATTTCCCTCCCTCCTTCCCTTCCTCCCTCAATCTGTCCGTCCCCCCCCCCCCCCACACACACACACACACTTCCTTAAGTTGTGGTCAGGTCACAGCATCAAGAAAAGCAGCTCACAGAGGTGCTGTGGAAAGTGTCTCCAGGCCAGGTCTCCAATGAAGCTGAGTGACTCCCAGGAGCCTCGCTCAGTCTGGATGTGCAGCCTGGAGGCAGTGTGGCACCTGGAGGCAGGAAGTACTGCAGGCCAGGCCGTGTGTGGTTGGAAGCTGTGACTATTGTTGCCTCTCCTCTCTGCCTTTTGGTATTTTTCTCCCAGAGAAGCGATTATGTGGGGACTTTTTAAAATGCCACTGATCCACGAGCTGGAAAAGGCAGCCCTGCTGATTGGAACACTGGTTTGCAGGAGACGGAGTGGCGCTGTTGACATTTTCAGAGGCTTTCTAGCTAAACTTTAAAATGCTTTGCAGAGCTAATCCTGCTGGCACTGGCCACTGGTGATATTTCTGTGGTGATCACAGACACACAGGGAAAGGGCTCGATAATTGGTTTCCTTTAGGGGGCCAGCAGTTAGGTGGGGGGCAGGTTCATTTTAACACAGAAGTTGGCATGGACGGAGCCTTGCCTGTGTGGAGCACAGGAGATGCACTGCAAGCCTGCTAGGCTGCGCTCCGTGACAGAATGACTTCCCTGCTTTTTCTTTGGTACTTTCTGATTTGCTGAGGATAATGGCTAATTTCAAATACTGATGCATTGCCTTTGAGCACAGGGGCATCTTGGTCCCGGGGCCAGGTCCTAAGGACAAAAATTGTGAGGCAAACAGACAAGGAGTTCTTTCTGTCTTTTGAAATCTCAGCACAGAGAAAGGAACAGAGCAGAATTGGGAATCCCTCTACTGCAGAACAGGAATCGACTCTCCACTCTCAGCCTTGGGCCTGCACAGGTGTGGACCCTAACCTGTGTGGACAGGAAGCTGGAATGGAGAATGGGGAGGGTCCTGTGGGAATGAAAACCAGTGGCTGGGGAACCAGGCCCTCAAGGCTCCAGGTGATGGAGAGGGAGGGCTGGGTCTCAGAGGACCTAGAAAGAAGGGAGTAGGGTTTGTGCCTAGAGACAAGAGACAAGGCTGAGTATGGGTAGTTAATAAGGAGGTATCCGCTGGCTTTGCAGACCTTACTAGATCATAGATGGGTTAGAATGTTACAAGAAAAGGCTAAAGTGTGCTACTGAAATACTTCCACAAACTCAGGAGGCAGAAGCAGGTGGATCTCTGTGAGTTTAAGCTCAGCTGGTCTATATAGCAAGCACCAGGTCCACCAGAGCCACACAGTGAGACTCTGGAGAGAGAGAGAGAGAGAGAGAGAGAGAGAGAGAGAGAGAGAGAGAGAGAGGAAAAGAAAAGAAAATTAAAACTTCTGTAATGAAAAATTCACTCTTTGGTGAAGAGTATTTCATTTAAACATCACACACATGAAAGGTGGGAGCCATTAAAGATCTCCATGTGTCAGGCTGTGAGCTCCTCAGTGGCCCCAAGGAGCCACTGAGGGGTTTGAGTCAGATTTGGTAAAGTGCTTAAACCAGACTAGCTCAGTTGGTAGAGTGCTTAAACCAGATCAGTTCAGTGGTAGAGTGCTAGCCTAGTATTAGGAAGTCCTAGACAGGAGGCAGGAGGATCAGAAGTCCAAGGTCACTCTGGGATACACAGTGAGTCTGAGACCAATCTGGACTCCATGTGACCCTGTCTCAAAAAAGAAAAACAACTTGGTTCTGCCTCTCTCGTGGGTGCCACTTTTCCATGGGAAGTGGGTGTCAGGTCTCAGGCAAATGGCTAACTGGGGTGCCTATTTAACATATCAAATCGGACACCAGTCCCTCTTAGCATCACCAATGAAAGGTGAAAGACGTGTGGTGGTGGGGCATGGTGCTGGTGGCGGAGCTGCTTACCAGCAGAAAAGTCAGGAGCCACTACCAGAGTTACAGAGAGCTTTATTGGGAGGAAGTGGGGGGATAGGAGAGAGGGGAGTCAGGCCTGGAGAGAGAGAAAGAGGGTGGAGTGGGGGAAGAGGGGAGCAGAGCAGAGCAGAGAGCAGAGAGAGAGAGCGTGGGGTCTGCATCCGGCTTTTTAAGGCACATACGTAGTTGTCAGCGCCCCTGGTGATGTAAGACGCAAGACCCTGAGCTGCACATGTACAGGAGCGAGGGCAGGATCCTAACAACCAATACCTGTTCAGAGTCCTGGCTCTTCTCAGCTCTTCTCAACCCGCCCCCTACTCTGAACCTCTCCAGCCACTGAACTTCACCTCCCTTCCCCCAGCTTCTCTGATTCCTCCATAACCCAGCCATTTTCCCTATGCAGCCCCCCACTCTGTCTCTCTGTCTCTCTCTCTCTCTCTAACTTTTTATTGATACTTTGTGAATTTCACGTCATGTACCCCAATCCCACTCACCTCTCCTCCCTCCATATCTGCCCTCCGCCCTTGCAACCTCCCTCCCAAAAGAAAACAATTTTTTTTAAGTAAGAATTAAAAAAAAAAAAAAGGCTCACTATGGTAGCTGTGGTGTATCGCCATGTGCCACACAGTAGACCCTTTGCCTAAACAGCTTTACTTGCAAATGTTCATTGCAATGAGTCATTGGTCTGGTTCGAGGTTTCCGGCTTCTGCTGCACTATCTATGCTGGATACTCAACGGGACTCGTGGACATCCTGTTGTTGCCCTGTGTCGTGGAGATCCTGCAGCTTTGGTTCTGCAGAACCAGCCCCTTCACGTGTTCCAGCAGTTCTTGGATGGGGTAGATGCTGGGATGGCCAACTCAAAGCCCTGAATCTGGGCCTGGGTGGTAGCTGAATTAGTTAGATGATCTCCTGCACCGAGCCACCAGGGTCAGCTCTCCTGCTGTGTTTGGTTGAGGGGCAGGGCCAACTCTCCTACCTGAGGCAGCTGACAAGGGGTGGGATCAGTTCTCCCCCTCATGGCTCATGCCATTGAGGCCAGTTCTCCAGCACCCATGACACCAGGGCCAGTTCTCCAGCACTGCCCTGGCAAGGGGCAGGGCCAGCTCACCCTCACTCAGGCCTTTGGGGCTAGCTCTCCCACACTGCCCAGGTGAGGGGTGGGGCCAACTCTCCTGCTCTCATGCTCTTGAACGGGCTCACCCACATTCATGCCACCAGGGCCAGCTCTGCTGGGCTGCCAGGTGAGATGCAGGGCCCAGCTATGCAGTTTCTTGGTCTCTTGGTTTCCTGGCTTGCTCCTGGCCTCTTGGCCCACATATCTACAATAAACCCTCTCCTCAACCGTAACTGAGAGCATCATGGCCTCATTTTTTTTTTCATTCAGTGGCTGCAGAGATGGAGGGAGAGCCATGTGTCTGCCTGGGGTTGGGGTCCGGGGTGGTGTTGAGAAGAATGAGGAATCAGGTTCTCCCCCCTTTTTTAAGTATGTATTATTTTATTAGATGTCATTGACTTGATTGAAACTGGCAAAAGTGTTCATAATTAGTGTTGTCGCCATGAGCAGCTTTTTCTAGAAAAGCACACAGATGTAAATAAAACTGAACACAACCATGAGAACAGGCAGTACCATAGTAGCTCCTTAAGCACCTTAGAGGGCATGGACCTCTTTCAAAACACACTTCTTCACAGACACAGAACACCCACGTTCATAATGACTCCGAACGGCATCCTAATGGCTCACAAGTCAACAATGGTGAAAGAGGCCAAAGTTACAAAATGAGTTCCCAGCAGTGTCCGGCATCCACGATTAGGTCAAGGTAGCACAGGTGTGGCGCTCCGCTTCACACCAGCCCACACTCGCCTCAGTCTCTGGGCAACACTGGCAGGTAATATTCTGAAGATGCTCTCAACACTCAACACTGGTTCTCTCCTGGTGTGGTCTGCCTGAGAGCCAGGGATCCACCTACCTGAGTCTGGTCCCGAGAGCACTCCCAGATCCCCAAGCCCAGTCAGGGTGGAGACAAGTGCCATGACCTGAGGCACCATCCCAGGGAAGAGGGCTTCTTCCAGCTCCATGCAGACATGCCCGGTAGGTACAAAAAGCTGGATCTTCTCAGTACCACCCTCTCTAGCCTCTCCTTTGTGCCCTGACACTGTTGTCACCAGGCCTTTAGGAAGATCTCCTTAAACTTCCCAGGGCTGGCCGGGGACTGCTGTCTCTGCCGGCATGGCCTCCCTGCTCTAAGCTCACCTTTGGGCTTTCCCCCTCTGCCTGGAGTCCCCTGTCCACCATATGAGGGTCTCATCCTTTAGACTGTAGACACTACTGTCCCCACTCCATGGGCTTCGAAACCTAGCATAGCCTATGAGGAGAGGTAGGAACCAAGCAGGCAGTTTTCATCCTCAGCAGAACATCCTGAAGACCCAGAACACGGACCAGGCCCCAGCAGGACAAGGGCAGAGGGAGGTGGCGGCGTCGCAATATTTTTAAAAAGTCGCCTACGGTCACTGGTTCACGAACTTACAAAATGCCTCTCCCACTCCTCAGCTCCTTCCGTCTATCCGCCTGTCTCTTTTTAAGTCACGTTTTCACCGAGAGGCTGAAATAGTTCGTGAAATTACGAGCCAGGTTGTTAACATCGTCTCGCCACGCTCCTTCCTGACTCCTGTCCCCTTCTCTAAGGGCAGACCCCACCGTAGTTTAGCAAGCACGCACTTGCCCACTTGTCGGTAGGTAGGTCTGCAAATGTGGGTATATTACATCTAAGATACATGTATATATGTACATGCTCACATAACTTCCTGTGTTTTGTGTAGTTGGGACCATCTGATAGGCGCTGCGGCTTTATGTAGTACTGTCTTGGGGAGCTGTCAGTGGCAGGACACACATGCCTTCTGCTCCGCAGTCTTTTGTGAATTTATTGTGATTTATTTAATCTTCTATGAGTGACATTTCTTGCGGGGGTGGGGGGGTGGGGGTGGCGTGCTATTAGAAGCAATGACTACTACTGTCTTTTTTTTTTTTTTTAATTTCTGGTTTTTTGAGACAGGGTTTCTCTGTGTAGCCCTGGCTGTCCTGGAACTCGCTTTGTTGACCAGCCTGACGTTGAACTCAGAGATCTGCCTGCCTCTGCCTAGTCCCCAGAGCATGCTTTTGATGAGTGCAGACGGCACATGGCAATTTACCAATATAATTTATACTACAATTGCTCATACATTTTGGCAGCTGGGAATCTGGGAACTGATCGTCTGGGCAGCTTCCCATGCAGCGTTTTCCACAAGGGTGCAGTTAAGTTTCTCTATGGGGCTCTGCCCCTACTGAAATTTGACCAGGACTTGGTACCCACTTCCTCACAGATCTGGCCAGTGGGGTGGGGGATGTTGGGGTGGGGATGGGTTGCTTCTTACTGTGATCCCTAGGCAAGACCAGTGGAATGTCATCCATGTTCCCATAGATGATTCTTTTAGAGACCTCTAACAGGGCTTCACCGCCATGCTTGAATATCCATTTCTCCCTCTCACCCACCATACTGCATCTTACATTCTGGTGGGCTTCCCCTTCATTTAGGATTTTATAATCTCTTTTGTAATACTACTCAAGCAGGCTGAGAAGATTGAAATAAAATTGCTAAGGGGAAAAAAATACTACTACTACAATCCAAATTACTAGAAAACAACAAGACAGGGTGTTGCTATGGAGAAAGATATGCCTCCAGCTGTGAACCTGACCAGAAAAGTCCCAGGGGCTAGGTGGTGTGGGGGGGGAGGGGGTAACATTTGCCTTTGGAAGCATCTCAGCTTCCCTAGGAAGAGGATACATTGGAAGGAAAAACAGTGTACAAAGTGGATCAATTTGGTTGCCAGCTCATGAGGCTCCTAACTCACGGTGATGCTGGGCTCATGGTGATGCTGGCTTATGGTGATGCTAAATCATGGTGATGCTGGCTCATGGTGATGCTAATTCATGGTGATGTTAGCTCATGATGATGCCAATTCATTGTGATGTTAACTCATGGTGATGCTAACTCATGGTGATGTTAACTCATGGTGATGCTGGCTCATGGTGATGTGAATTCATGGTGATGCTAATTCATGGTGATGTTGGCTCATGGTGATGCTAACTAATGGTGATGTTAGCTCATGGTGATGCTGGCTCATGGTGATGCTAACTCAAGGTGATGCTGGGCTCATGGTGATACTGGCTCATGGTGATGCTGGTTCATGGTGATGCTGGCTCATGGTGATACTGGCTCATGGTGATGCTAACTCAAGGTGATGCTGACTGGTGGTGATGTTAGCTCATGGTGGTGCTGGCTCATGGTGATTCTAGTTATGGTTCTAGCCCAGGAAGTAAAGGAGAAAGCTGGGCTGGAGGATAATTAGCTTCCCAAAGCCAGAGGTTCACGAGCTTCCTAGACTGCTCTGGAGAGTACGGGAGAGAAGGTAGCAGGATATTTAGGAGCAGGTTACAGCAAACAGCTTCGAGTGAGACATCTACACTCATGTCCCCTCCCAGCTACTTCACTCTGTCAGCTGGTGTTCACTGTGTGCCAAACATTGTTCTGAGGGCAGTGGATCTGTGAAAGCCTGACTCAGAGTACACACGTACACACGGCTGGAGAATGAAGACTCTGCAATGTGACTCCAGGCCTCTGGGTCGACAGTGATGCCCCCACGGCCTGTGCCACACACCCAGATGCCGGTGGCACTCAGTAAAAGCAGCTGTCATAACAGGAAAATTGTGAAGAAGAGCGGTGAAAAGAAAAATCTACACTTCTTCTCTCTGCCCTCTTGTGACCCTCCGAGTGCGTGTGTGTGTGTGTGTGTGTGTGTGTGTGTGTGTGTGTGTGTGTGTGAGATATTATTCTCAAGAGTTATCCACTTGGGTATTGTTTGTTTGAGGCAGATTCTCTCCAAGTAGGCTGGGCTGGCTGGCCAGCAGGCCCTGGGGATCTGCCTGTCTCTGCCTCCCACTGCTGGTGTCACATGCATGTGGCACCATGGCTGGCCTTGTCACACTGCTTGCAAGGAACTAAACTTGCATCCTCATACTTGCAAAGCAAGCCCTTTAGCAAAACGATCTCCACAGCCCCTCTACGTCCTTTCTCCCTTCTAGAGGCTCTCACAAGCTTTGTTTCTATGCTTCCATGCCGTGAAGAAAGAAAGAGAAGAAAGGAAAGAAGAAGAAAGAAGAGAAAGAAAGAAAGAAAGAAAAGAAAGAAAGAAGAAGAAAGAAAGAAGAAGAAAGAGGGGGAAGGAGGAAGAAACAAAGAAGGAGAGAAAAAAGAAAGACAAATTCATAAACTATTTCCCAGGTCCTTTCTTGCTGAGGTGAAAATGACTGAGGATGTCTAGTGATCTGCATCCCACTGCTTTGGCACTGTGAAGGTGGGGCATGCTGCACAGGATGAAGTCACAGGAGTGGTGGTCAAGTATGAGATGTTAAGTTCCAGGAAGGCTAAGTGAAGGGCACATGGACCATTTGCCCATGTGTTTGGTAGATGCTACCAACCCCCTCGACTGTTAGGAGCTAGCCTAGGCTATTCCTTCTCTCGTCCTTCCCTCCCCTCCCCGCCTCTCCTCTCCTCTCCCCTCCTCTATCTTCTTTCTTTTTCTGCTCTCCCCCATCCCTCTCCTCTCTTTAGCCCTACTCCTTTCTGCCTCCTCTGTCTTTTCCTTGCCTGGACGGCCATCTGAGTCCCCGATGCGTCAATGTGACTGCGTTTCCATAGGCAGGTGTGTGTCTTGTTTAGTCACATTAAAAATAAATCGCTTGGCCACACACAGGCGATGCGTCAATCTGTTCCTTCCCTCTGCTTTCCAGGAACAGATTGCGCAAAACCAGATGACTGTTATGTGAGATATCAGCAAGGAAGGGCATGTGGTGGAGGGGAACAAGCCCTCCCGAGCAGCCCTCCAGGCCTCATGGCCACTGGGAAAGTGAATCAGTCATGCCCTCCAAACAGTCACGGCTGCATTCTTTAAGCCAAGGTTAGCAAGCTGTGGGGAAATTTGGAGGTTCACACTCAATGCACAGCTACTGTGTGTGTGTCATGTCCCACACTTCCTTTTCCATTTTTCTCCTATGGTGGAATCGGGGTCATGGCTAAGATACCTTGCCAGGAATTCCGCCTTTGAGTATCACAGTTTGTTGTTATTGTTCATTTTTAAAGCCGGTTCTCCTGGAGTCCGGGCTGGCCTTGAACTGCCTATGTAGTTGGGGATGATCCAACTTCTGATCCTCTTGCCTCCAAGTCTCGGGGTGTCAGGATGACAGACACATGCCCCCCACACTAGGTCAGTTTATGCAGTGCTGTGACGGACCCCAGGACTTTGTGCCTGCTAAGCAAGCCTTCCACCAGCTTAGCTACATCCTCAGCCCAGGATCTCGGTTTCTGTAGAAAACACCTCCAGTCATTTTTATCACCCCTATGGGTTAAATGAACTCTGCCGCTTTGGGCCGATTACTTAACACTGGAGTCTCTTCACCTGCAAATGGAGTAGAAATTGAGATCAAGAGAGATGATTCCTGTGGCGGTATGAAAGAAAATGGCCCTCAGTGGGAGTGGCACTACCAGGAGGTGTGGCTTTGTTGGAGGAAGTGTGTCACTGTGGGGGCGGGCTTTGAGGTCTCTTTTTTTTTTTTTCAGGCTTCCCTTAGTGTGACAGCCAGTCAACTTCCTGTTACCTGCAAGATGTAAGGACTCTCAGCTCCAGCACCACGTCTGCCTCCACCACTGCCATGCTCCTTGTCATGATGATAATGGATTGAACCTCTGAACTGTAAGCGAGCCACCCCAATGAAATGTTTCCTTTGTAAGAGTTGCTGTGGTCATGGTGTCTCTTCACAGCAGTAGAAACCCTAACTAAGACAGTACCTTTAAGCTAGACACCTTTATAAGTGAGCAACTGAAAACAGTGATGTGTATGCTCTGCATCGCAACACATAAACTACCTTCCTTCTCTTGAAAAGCTTGTGTGTGTGTGTGTGTGTGTGTGTGTGTGTGTGGTGGTGTGTGTGTGTGTGTGACTCAGAGGACAACTTGTGGGAGTCAGTTCTCTTCTTTCATTGTGTGGGTTCTGGGACCTGAACTAAGGTTGTCAGCCTTAGCTACAGGTACCCTCTCCTGCTGAGCCCATCTTATTGGTCCCTCCACCTTATTTTTTGAGACAGGGCTTCTCACTGAACCTGAAGTTCATAATTCAGCAGGACTGGATGGGCCAGGGAGCCTCCAGGATTTTCCTGTCACTGCCTCCCCCCGACACTGGAGTTCTAGGTGCACATTTCTACCTCCAGAGTTTTCTGTGGATGCTGGCGATCTGAACTCAGGTTCTCATGCTTACACAGCAAACACATCCTTCCCTGTGAGCCATTCCCTCAGTCTTCAATTTAAAAAGTCTTACAGGCAGGCGTGGCAGCATTCCAATGGTGTGTGTGTGTGTGTGGTGTGTGTGTGTGTGTGTTCTTACTCTTGATAAAAATAGTCTAAGAGACAGCTTGGCTTTTGTAGAAATCTTGGCATTCTAGAAAGCAAGCCTGCAGCCTCCACAGAATGTGACTAAGCAATTGTCAAGGGAAAGTAAGGGTTCCATGCTCTCTCCTGATCAACCCCTCACCCCGCCCAGTCAAAGCCTTATCTGCTCTCCCCGACATCAAATCTGAGCAGTCTTGTGACTTGATTTTGCTGGTAAGAACTGATAGAAATGACTGTGGACCAGTTCTGAGCCTGCCCCACAATGCTCTGGAAATTTCTGTGTACACGTTGAGGAGCCGAGAGCATCTCTGGCCTGGATACCATACATAAAGAGCCTCATGAAAACCAGAGATTCAGAGGAGAGGGTGGACCAGCCATCCTAGAGTCCCAAGCTAAGCCAGCTGCCAATCTCTCTCCAAGAAACCTGTCATGCCAGTGGTCCATCCTGGACACTCGGTGCAGTCCTGCCTCACACGACCTAGGTCCCACCTGAACTCACATGAAAAGAACTTCCTCTCAGATCCAAGCAATCATATATGCAAAACATGGTGAGCCTGTGTTTAGTCATTCCCCTTTTGAGGGGCATGTCACAGCAGTGGATCAGTAAAACAGTGTTCACATGAAAGTTGTCATTAGGGTACATATCACTGTGGGTCTAATCCCTTGGTTCTAATCACTATGGACCAAACCACGGACTCTCAGTGGATAGACACAGAGAAGCTGCCTCCAGGAATTTAGTTCGGCAAGAAGAGTGTGCACAGGCCAGTACAAAGATTCTAGACACTGACTAGTTCATACACACACACACACACACACACACACACACACACACACACACACACACACACACCACACACACACACACACACACACACACACACACACACACACACACACGAGCACAGAAGCCCGATGAGCATGAATTTGGGAGGGAAGCAGGGCGCACTCCCTAGGGCTGGATTTTGAAGGACAGTGCAGGCGCCATGTCAGAGAATAGATGGTAGGAAGGAGCACAGGTAGGAGCCTGGCAGGAAACTGAGCAGATAAAGAGAAAGCTGAGACAATCCCAAGTTTGCTAGTAGCTGGATGCCAAGACAATGGTGCTCAGGCTGGCTGTGGAGTCCGGTGGCAGAGCGTTTGCCTAGCATGCATGAAGCCCTGGGCTTGACCACCAGTGTGGCACAAACTGAGGACAGTGGCACACACTTGCGAGCCTTGAGAAGTGAAGGCAGGAGGAAGAGAAGTTCAGGTCACCCTTGGCTACATTCAGAGTTCAAAGCCAGCCTGAGCTTGAGGGATGATGCAGAGTTTGAATGCACTTGGTGCTCTTTCTGAGGACCTGAGTTCAGTTTTTCAGCCTTCGTATCAGGCACCTTATCAGTTACCTTCTGTAACTCCAGATCCAGGGAACCTGGCACCTCCTCAGACACACATATATACATAATTAAAAATAATAAAAATAAAACCATTTAAAAACATACATTGCTTATTGAGATTCGTGTGTGTGTGTGTGTGTGTGTGTGTGTGTGTGTGTGTGTGTGTGTGTTTTGTTTTTCTTAAATGGGGCAAATCGGGTTCTAGACCTGTAGTGTAACCTCAGAAAAGCTGGATATTTCATGATCCTTTCTTTCATTAGCCCATCTGGTAAAAATATAATTTGCTAGATGCTACACAATCCCAATGTGACCACGTGCTAAGGGACTCTGAAAGCGGAGTCTCTTGGGAGTGAGTGTCCTCTTAGCACTCACTGGCAGCAGGGCTGGGGCTCCAGGTGGGAAAGATGCGGGACCTGTTTGCAGAGAGCCCTTTCACGCCTCCCCTTGGACAGCTTGGGATTGAGGAGCCCCATCTGGGCCCTCCAGGGCTGAGGAGGAGAAGACATAGACTCAGCAGCCAAAATCCGAGCCAACTGGCTGGTAATTGGGTGGTTAATGGCTCAGTCCTGGAGAACTGTAAGGCTGCAGCTATGGCAGGAATGGCTTTCAAGTTTCCTCCTCCCTCCTCCTGGTGCGTGGTGGAGCTTTGAAACTCTCTGGCCTGGAAGGATCTGGGTAACCATGGATGCCTCAACCCAGGACTCTGAGCAAGGCCAAGTCAGCTGCTGGATCTAAGAGCCATGACTGCAGAAGAGGAAGGATTCAGACATTCCTGAGTGGTAGCAGGGTCAGTGGAAATACAAAAGGCAAGATCCAGGTGCCTCAGCACGGGGCAGAGAAAGGCTCATGACAGCACCTCTCTTAAGATCTTAGGTAAGTGCCTTAGTCTGTGTTTCTACCCAGCTCGACCACACGTATAATCACAGCAAGCACTGGTCTCCTTGTCTCCCATACTGGTGATGGAACCCAGGGCATCGTGCATACTAAGCAAGTGATTCGTTACTGAGCTGTATCCTCAGCCCTCTTTTCACTTCTTGTTTGGAGACAGGGTCTCACAAAGTTTCCCAGGCTGGCCTTGAACTTAATGATTCTCCTTCCTTGGCCTCCTGAATGCCAGGACTGTGTGTGTGCAACACCATCATGCCTGGGTCTTCTATATCCTTTTTCACTTTCTCATGGACACAGGTTGTTTCCAGTGTGTGTTGTCTCTGGCCAGTCTGACAGTCTCCTGAGGCCAGGTCATTACTTCCCCCTTCACATGTCCTACCGACCTAGTGCTTTGAAGAGACCTCAGTAGACAGGCAACACTGACTTAGTGGTTCTGCCTGATTTTGAGTTTCATCTCCTGCCATCTTGAAAACAGGCGACTGTTGGTTGGACAGTCCTACTAGGAGTCACCCATTGCTGTTGGCTGGGGTCTGTCTTAACCCATAACAACAGAGGCAGAAGCCCACCCTCAACCTGCATGGCCTCTGTCTGTGTTACTGCCCTAGTGCTGTGAGGAAACACCATGACCAAGGTGACTTGTAGTAGAATGTTATTTTAAGGTGGGTTACTTTTGTTTACGTTGCATTTGTTTAACTCTGTGAAGCTATGTTACTGTGTGCCTGTCTAAAACACCTGATGGTCTAATAAAGAACTGGCCAATAGCCAGGCAGGAGAAAGGATAGGGCTAGCAGGGAGAGTTTATATAGAAGGAGAAGAAATGGAAGAGTGAGAGGAAGCAGCAGCCAGAGAAGGAGGAGGACATCAGGGGCCAGCCACCCAGCCACACAGCCAGCCATGGAGTAGGAGTAAGATTTACAGAAGTAAGAGAATGGGAAAAGCCCAGAGGCAAAAGGTAGACGGGATAAGTTAAGGAAAGCTGGCTAGAAATAAGCCAAACTAAGGCCAGGCATTCATAATTAAGACTAGGCCTCCGTGAGTGATTTATTTGGGAGCTGGACGGCGGGCCCCCCAAAAGAGAGTGAAAGCAAAAACAACAGTAACTTATAAAAGGAAGTATCTAATTGGGGACTTGCTTACAGTTTCAGAGGGTGAGTCCATGACTTCCATAGTGGGGAGCGTGGTGGCAGGCAGACATGCATGGCACTGGAGCAGTAGCTGGGAGCTTCCATCTTATCTATAAGCTGAAGGGAGAGAGAGAGAGAGAGAGAGAGAGAGAGAGAGAGAGAGAGAGAGAGAGAGAGAGAGAGAGAGAGAGAGACTGGTGTGGGCCTGATGTGGGCTTTTGAAACCTCAAAGCCCACCCCCATTGACACACCTCCAACAAGGCCTTATCTTCCCTAACAAGCCCACACCTCCTAATTCTTCCCCAACAGTTCTAACTGGGGACCAAACATTCAAACATGTGAGTCTGTGGGGGAGCATTCTCATTGAAACCACCATGGGTCCATCTCCCTTCTCCCTTGCAAACCTAACTCTGATATAAGCTGGGTGACCCCAGGTGATAAACAGTGACCCAGTTAACTAATCATGGAAACTCAAGTGCAGGTCCAGTCTCCCAGAGGTAGAACATCATGGAGGATCTGAGGGTACAGGAAGGAACAGATCAGGCTTTGCCACCTCTTTCTCCTGCTTCCTGTCTCATCCAAGATCCCCAGTGTCTGTAGCTGTCCTGTGACCAGGAGGCAGCCTCCTGGGGCACCACACAGAGGACAAGGCTTCGCCTGGCCTAGGTCACCTTCTTGTCATCTGAGAGCAGGGAGGGAAACGTTTCTCACTGTAGTACCCACAGCTTCTAGAACAGTCCCTGGCTTGCTGCCACCACTCAACAATCCTTTGCAGACTAAGTAATTATCTGCATTGCTCAGGCTACAATTGAGGGTCCAGTTGCTTACAAGTAAACTTAACCGTGTTTGTGAGGCCCAGGCTACATGGCAAGACCTTGTTGCTCAGAAACAAAGAGGCAAACAAAACTAAACGCCCTTACAAAGACTTGGCAGCAACCACCAGCAAATGAAGGCCTAAGTTCAAGGCGTTACCATGGGCATGTTCCCGCCTGCCTAGCCCACGTCGTTCCCTTCTGGCGAACACACAAAGCCAGACAGTATCCAAAGCCATCCGGGTTCCAGCCATGGCTGATGGGGTCAGATACACTCAGCAATGCAAAACTCAGCTCATGCTCCCAAAGGAGTAAGACATAGCCTGTTCCGAGCCAAATGAGTGACCACGGGCAGGGAACATGGTTCAGATTGTCCAGATTAACAGGCTCCAGTGTGGAAAGGTTACATTTTTTTTAATAGTCACAGAACAACAGAAAATCATAAATCAGAGCATTTACCAAATATATTGATGGGGACATCAAATAGATGGGTTACAGCAAAGAGGAGAAATCTCTGCCATTGGTTCTAGATGCTGTTTCATGACACTCTTAGTTGTTAGGTTGGTGGAAGGCAGCAGTCTGTTAAGCGAATATAGTTCCCAAGTTTTTTTGGTTTTTTTTTTTTTTTTTGGTTTTTCGAGACAGGGTTTCTCTGTGTAGCTTTGCGCCTTCCTGGGACTCACTTGGTAGCCCAGGCTGGCCTCGAACTCACAGAGATCCGCCTGGCTCTGCCTCCCGAGTGCTGGGATTAAAGGCGTGCACCACCACTGCCCGGCTAGTTCCCAAGTTTTTAATGGTCACAAAGACCCTAGTTAGAAATAGAGGTCAGTGGTGAATGACTGTTAAGGAGACTGATGATAGCCTAAAATACTTTTGGCTCTCAATCTGCAGCATTCTAATGTTCCACAATCAGAATCATCTACTCTGTCCATCAGTTTGTGGAATCTTCAATACAGATGTGGACACCCCCAACCCCAGCCACACCCCCAGGGAATTTTAATTGCACATGCCCTTGCTTTAAGCACGTTCCAGTGGTTTCTTACAGATTCGGGCGAAAGTCGGAGCACCTCAGCTTGACCTTAAGCCCCATCACCAACACTTACATCCCTTTGCTTAGAGGCTCCTGACCTGGCCTCAGCCGCCTCAAGATAGATAGACCCTGCACATCCAGGTTGATGGGCCTTTGCCCATGCCAGGACCCATGTGCTTACATAGAGCCCTACCAGGCACTTTGCCATTCCCAAGCTGGTGACCATAATCCAGGGACAGCTGGCCCTGCCCTGCTCTTGACCTTGATGATTGCTCCCCTGGATGAGGCACTGTTCTGGTGCTGACGTCAGTTCCATGGGCTGGCACTGATTAGGATGTCCACACAGGAGCCTGTGCATTTCTCTCCTGCGGGCCTGGGGATGATATACTGTGGTCCTCATTGCCTGGGCCAGTGCTCAGGGCTGCATGAATGACTTTCTAATGGTGAACATGTGGGCTTCCGGCGATGTCGTAGGGGTTCGTGGGAGGAAGCAGGGAAGACTTGGGTTTGGGGGACAGGCGCTGTATGAAGCCTTTCCACTTCCTACCCCTGAAGCCGCAGCAGCGTCTCCCCCTTTGAGTCACAACCTGCTCTACATCCTCAAGAGCTGAGATATCCCCTGAGGCATTTTCTTGTTTTCCTCTTCTGGAGGAGAGGAGCAGAGCCAGAAGAGCACAGGCTTCACAGCGTGGCTCAGATTTGATAAACAGACAGGGGATTTCCATGGCAATCAGGAGAGAAAAGAGCATGCATCAGCTTTGGAATTCGCAATGCAGGCTGCGGGCTGGAGGGGCTGCCCTGCTGCTCTGCCACCCACAGCTGGATCAGGAAAGCCATCAGGGAGGATCAGCGCCTGGTCTTGATGCATTTCACGCCCCTGGAGGCTCCCTTGGCTGACTCCTTCCCCACCAACGCCCCCCACCCCCCAAGCAAGGTATACTCCCTGGGAAAGGGAGGTATTGATGAAGCCCCCAAATGTGGTTGGGTTACCTTGGGACTAAGGAGGGGTCATGCAAGACTTGGGATCCATTTGGACCTCCCTGCTGAAGAGCCCCAGCATCTGAAAACTGCTGAATCACCATTGTCATTGGATTAATCAGTCAAGTTCAGAGCAGACAGGATCTGGGAGGATGATTGACAGCTCCTGAGCACACAGCTCTCGGGCATGCTCTCTCACACAGATTGCACACCCACATGTAGACCTTTATCCACCCAGAATCAAGGTAAAACTTTAGAGGAGGGGATGTAGCTCAGTTAGTAAAGTGTTTGCCTAGCATGCATGAGGTCCTGGGTTTGATCCCCAGTGCCATATAAAACCAGATGTAGTGGGGCTTGCCTGTAATCACTTCACTCAGGAGGTGGAGGGGAGGATCAAAACTTTAAACTCATCCTCGACTCCGTATTGAGTTCAGGCCAGCCTGGACTATATGAGACCCTATCTCACAAAAACCAAAATAAAAATACATGAACGTAAAAATAAACTATTGCAAATATTCTCCATCCGTCCTTGGTTTTTCAGGCAAGCTGTTGCTATGTAGCCCAGGCTGGCCTGAAACTCACGATCCTTCTGCTTCTGCCTCACCGTGGCTGATCTTCTCCCAGCTTCCCAAGAACACTTGCTCTGGGTGGGTTGACCCCAGCTCCCGGGGCCTCCCTGGGATCACACTTCCCGCTTTTTCTTTTATCAGAGCATTTACTTTCTGGAACAGCACTGCATATTTGTGTTGACTTGGCTTTTGTCTGCTAACTCCATAAGCTCTGGAACAATGAAGACAACAACAACAATGATAACAGAAGAAGATCGTAATGATGATGGTGACGGTGGTGATGATGATGGTGATGATGGTGATGATGGTGACGATGGTGATGATGGCGATGATGATGGTGATGGTGATAATGGTGATGATGATGGTGATGATGGCGATGATGGCGATGATGATGGTGATGGTGATGATGGCGATGATGATAGTGATGATGATGGTGATGATGATAGTGATGATAGTGATGATGATGGTGATGGTGGTGATGGTGATGGTGGTGATGATGGTGATGATGATAGTGATGATGATGGTGATGATGATGGTGATGATGGTGATGATGATGGTGATGGTGGTGATGGTGATGATGGTGATAATGATGATGATGGTGATGATGATGGTGATAGTGATGATGGTGATGATGGTGATGATGATGGTGGTGATGGTGATGATGGTGATAATGGTGATGATGGTGATGATGATGGTGGTGATGGTGATGATGGTGATGGTGATGATAGTGATGATGATGGTGATGGTGGTGATGATGATGGTGGTGATGGTGATGATGGCGATGATGATAGTGATGATGATGGTGGTGATGGTGATGGTGATGGTGATGATAGTGATGATGATGGTGGTGATGGTGATGGTGATGGTGGTGATAATGATGATGATGGTGATGATAGTGATGATGGTGATGATGATGGTGATAATGGTGATGATGATGGTGATGTTGGTGATAATGGTGATGATGATGGTGATGATAGTGATGATGATGGTGATGATGATGGTGATGATGATGGTGATGATAGTGATGATGATGGTGACGATGATGATAATGGTGATGATGGTGATGATGATGGTGATAATGGTGATGATGGTGATGGTGATGATGGTGATGATGATGGTGATGGTGGTAATGGTGATGATGATGGTGATGATGGTGATAATGATGGTGATGGTGATGGTGATGGTGGTGATGATGGTGATGAAGAGGGGGGCAATCAGTGTGTACTGAAACTCATCTGTGCTGGCTGGTTTCATGTCAACTTGACACAAGCCAGGGTATTTTGGGAAGAGGGACTCTCAACTGAGATAACGCTCCCATCAGAGTGGCCTGTGACATTTTTTAATTGATGATGGATGTGGGAGGGCCCAGCCCGTTGTGGGTGGTGCCATCTCTGGGCTGGTGGTCCTGGGTTCTATAAGAAAGGAGAGTGAATAAGCCGTGAGGAAAAAGCCGTAAGCAGCGCCCTCCATGGCATGCCCTGACTTCCCTGAATGACAGACCACAAGCTGTAAGCTGAAACAAACCCTCTCTCCCCTAGTTCCTTCGGATCGTGGTGTTTTGCCACCGCAGTGGAGACCCTGACTGGAACGCAGCCCCTGGCAAGCACTGCTTTCAGGACTTCTGTACACAAATGCATTTATCGTTTATTTCCTTCCTGAACTCAGCCGCTGTTGCCTCCTCGATTTTACAGACGAGGAACCTGAGAGCAAGGATCTTGATTTTTCTGTCCACTGTTGAGCTGGAAGACAGACTCATCTATGCAAGAAGAGCCTAAGTGCCATCAAAAACGGAGGAGAGGGACAGTGGCTCTGGGTCACGCGGTTGGCTCTGCCCCTCTGCCCATCTCTCCTTCCTCTGTGCTTACATTGCAAAAGCCCCTTGAACGGTTTGTGTGTACACCAAGAGAAACTTGTTTATGTCCCCAGGGAGAACAAAATTACAATTAATATGCAAGGGTAACCTGTGCATCAGAATTATGATAAAGTAAGGTTTAAGGTCTGTAATGAAAACATAAGGGGGAAGCCGGGCGGTGGTGGCGCACGCCTTTAATCCCAGCACTCGGGAGGCAGAGCCAGGCGGATCTCTGTGAGTTCAAGGCCAGCCTGGGCTACCAAGTGAGTTCCAGGAAAGGCGCAAAGCTACACAGAGAAACCCTGTCTCGAAAAATCAAAAAAAAAAAAAAAAAAAAAAAAAAAAGAAAACATAAGGGGGAAAACCCTCCCATGCGCTACCAACCTTGTCTTCATCCATTTAGGATGCATTCACGGTGCGGGGACTGGGATGCAGGGTGAGTGCGCTTTAGGACTCCATCTGGTCAGATGAGGTCATTTTTGCCTCCACCGTTGGTGTAGCAAAGGGGTGAAGGGCCCAGACTGACTTCCTACGGGCCTCCTCTCCTATTTTGAGCCTGGCCCTGAGTAGGACTTGCAGGGACTTGAATGTACACAAGAAAGCAGGTCCATGCGTGTCTTCTCTGACCTCTGGGCTAACTGTCCCTTTTTTTTGTCCATATGGGTCTCATCCCTCTGTGGTGCCTAACGGGTAGCCCCAGGCTCCTGGCCTACTTGCTCATGCAATGGCTGTCTGCTGACACCATAGAGCGCCTGCCCAAGAGCTCTGCTGTGTGATTGATGGGGTCGCTCTTGTTCTCGGTCCCAGAGAACACCTCTGAATAATAACTTGGCAAAATCCTTCTCTTTTTCCGCTTCCCCATTTCTGACTCATTTGCTCTTTGTGAGTCATCCATCTCTTTTGAGGAGGGAGAAACACAAGGAAGAGGAGGAGGTTGTAACAGAGGAACAGGGACCATGAGTGCCACCTTCTCATTTTTCAGAGAGGGAATTAGAGTACCTGTCACCAGCATTTCAAGTCCGGGGACATGAAGGTGGAGTGGAGCTCTGCAGGCAGGTCAGATTTGCAAATGGACCCAGGTCTCTTGCTCTGGAACCAAAGTGGCTGTGGGAGGTGAAGATGTAAGAGGTGTGGGAGGGGGAGGTGTGGGAATTATGGGAGGTGGAGTTATGGGGAGGTGTGGGAAATGGAGG